GTACAAAAGCAATGCCCTGTTGCCATGAATCAAAATTGAAGCAACGATACATTAGTGTCGTCTTCCGGAATTTGGCATGTACCCGGAGTGTTTTTTAGGTCACGTAATCAATATTAATAGAAGGCGGGGCTATCGATCGGCGTCATTGTTGACATCTCTCTCTCTCTCCCCCCTCTCTCTCTCTAGAAATTCGAATATGTGTATGGCATATTACAGCGATGTCAATATGAAATTAAAAAGAAAAATGTGTGGACACGCAAAATTAAAACAACATTTAATTTGCTAAATTCTGAAAACGGCAACCAAACACGCTCAAAGATGTGATTTAGAACGAGGTGGTTGAAGAATACAATGTAACTGTTTTCACGAGTACACTCGCAGGTGGGCATCACGTGATGAATTGTAATATTTAACAGGTCAATCGAGGTCAAATCAAGGTTAACTCAGTCATAACAATGGAAACGAGAACTTTGTTTTGAACATATTTTTTGTTATATTAAGTATGAGCGCACGTTTGTCGGCTTCTCTCCTTTTAATATGATATTATTTTGTTCAATATACAACTACAGTTTTCTTAAGAACAGCCGACAAACATGCGCTGACTATGTATTCAGACGATGAAAAACGCGTGACCCTGATTATCTATTGATATTCAAGAAATCTTCAGGCACCATGCCTTGCATATTAATTAGTTTACCTCGAAAAGAGCGTTTTAAATTCACATCTGTACCATGAATTCACGGTTAAGATATCAGGGATTTATATGATGGAAAGAAATAATCATTTTATGAAACTTTAATTTACAGCATTTTTTCTGGCCAGTTAAGTCCACCCATTCTTTGTGTTTTCATTTGAACACCCCCCCCCCCCCAAATATTTAACCCTGTATTTTCCGATGCATGTGAATTATAATTCATTTATATGACAATTATTAATCAACAATTTATGCATAAAAAGACTATGAATGACTCATCGTATCAAAATTATTTGTATCACAATCTTTCATTCTTATGTTTGTTTATAAAGAAAAAAATTAATTGTGCTCCCCGGCCTAAAATTCCCATACTTCACATTTATAGCATGCACTGAATTCTGTATTTTTTTTTTCATGCCTAGCTGCCTTAACTATCTATTATTTTGTAATAATCACCCATTCTTCTAATCTCTATATATACCATAATTGTAAAATGGTGCAGAGATTCAAATGAATGAATGAAAGAACAAGACTGGATTCCTGATGAATTTTCTTTTTAAAAAATGGTCAGTATTGCTCCCTTTAAAAAAATGTACTGAATCAAATACCTTTAAATTGATGTGCATATAATTAATTACTTTGAACACATTTTCTGCCCATCTTTATTTAAATAAAAAAGAAAGAAAATCAAAGGAATAAGAAAATACATTACCGAGTAATTTTATTCTGTTGTTTCCTTTTTTTTCACTTAAGATATCAAGGGTCTGATGTATCCAAATAATTTTAGTTACAAACAACACAGAATGAGCCCTCCTCCAAGCATCCTTTAGGATGTAAAGGATGAGGGCCATTCTATGTAATGAGCCTGAGGCTCAAAAAGGGTATCATATAGCATTTTCCTTCGAGCCAGCAAAGCGAACCTCATTTTTAAAGAAGTTAAAAATACCTGTATGACGTATGTATTACCTGAGTACCTGTAGTATATAAGGCACAACTCCACGTACCAAACCATTTTTTAACGAAATGTTTGTGACAACTCACAGATAACTTGGGTGGGTATGTATTATGGGTTGGGTATATGATACCCTTTTTGAGCCTCAGGCTCCTTACATAGAATGGCCCTCATCCTTTACATCCTAAAGGATGCTTGGAGGAGGGCTCATTCTATTACATATCGCCTTTCGGCTCTGCAAAGGGTATCATATAGCATGTTTAAAGTGTTGATCACAAACATCAAGATCTCATTGCAATCAGTAAGATAAATATATTTTAGTAAAATCATTTATCGTTGTTGAATTCTTTAAAATCGATTTCATAATATTAAGCTCTCTAAATTATATTAAAGTCATACTCTTGTATCAATTTGACCAAATTCAATTTATAACCAACAATGTCAAATTCAACAGTGTTAAATTTCACGATTAACTCTGGTTGACTACCAGCAATGGTACTGAAATACTGTTGTATAAAACTGTTGTTTCAAATTCTCAGCCATCTCATTTTAATATACAAAAGACTTTGGAAATAAAGAGAGAATCATCTTTTCAAATTTAATAAAGACAAAGAAATCATCTTGCATATACAATACAATAATCAAAATCATCATTCGGGAAATATAAGCATTAAATCAACAAATTATTATATTCTTCATCTCACACCAAGGCTCATTATTCTGACAAAATTAAATTTGATATCTATTTAATATTGCAGTTGCAAATTGTCCATTCCTCGAATCATCCACATTAAGTTCTTTAAAATAAAACTTGAAAAACGTCTTTGAAGATGTCCAGTTTGCTGTTTCTAACAAGTCCTTCATAGATACTCCTGAGAGATAGGCGGCAGAAGCAGACGCACCACGATAAGAATGTGCTGTAAAGTTTTCAATGCCGGAGAGCTCCAAAACTGTCCTGAGCCATCTAGCTAAAGTACAGGTTGTCACGGGAAAAAAGGTTTTATACGAAACAAATAAATTTGAAGATTTTTTGTGGTCTTTTGTCCTCTTCAAGTACTCTTTCAATGTGGAATAAACACAAATGCTTTTGTCAGAATATTTAAACAATGTCACTTTATGTGCAGGACTACCTGGTTTACAAGTTTTTAGCAATTTTCTGATAATAAAAACAACCTTATCACTAAACATTTCCATATTTTGTAAATCTAAAGCCAATAAAGTTTGTGCTCTAGAAGCTGTAGTGAGTGCAATAAGTGCTATTAACTTAAGAGTCAACATATGTAAACTAACCTTACTTAGAGGCATTAAAGTGCGCAAAAATCTTAAAACTTTTGAAACATCCCAAGTAAGTCTTACTTTTGGTCTGGAGGGGTTAATATTAAAATAACCTTTCATTAGTTTTGGTATCAATAATGAGGTTTTTATCCATTGAATGCCGAAAAAAGGCAAAGTATTTACTAACATAGATTTCTGAGTATTTATTACAGAATAGGAAAGTTTTAACTTCATTAAAGATGTCAGATATGCTATAACATTTACTTCAGACGGTTTATAGGGATTAATATCCCGTTTATAACACCAAAATATCCATCTTTTCCAACAGCACTGATACTGTTTGTTTGTTGCTCCCCGTAAAGATGCTGTAATGATTTGCGCATCCAAGTTTGAAAGTCCTGAATTCTGGAGTGCTCGCCTGATACAATGCAAGCGATTAACTTCATTTTCCGAAGGGGATGTACCTCGCCTGTATGTGTCATTATCAATAAGTCCTTGTGCCGGGGTAGCCTGATTGGAATAGAAACAAGAGCAGACATTACTAGTGGAAACCATATTTGTGTTTTCCACAATGGAATTATGATAATGGCTTCTTTGACACAGTCATCAAAAATTTTATTCATAATTCTACCAATCAATTTGAAAGGTGGAAAAATATAAGGACGAAAAAAGGACCATGACATTGTGAAAGCATCAACGTGACAAGCTTCTGGATCAAAATTCCATGATACAAATACATTCAACTGTTTATTTAACCTTGAAGCAAATAAATCTATATCTGGTTTAAAAAACTGATCACAAATTCTTTCAAATATTTCTGATTTTAGCATCCATTCAGTTGAATCTGAAAATTTTCTAGATAATGAATCAGCATAAATATTTTCAATGCCTGGAATATATTGTGCAGAAATTATTAAATTTCTTTCAAAACACCAGTTCCACACTTCAACTGTTAATTTGTCAAGTTGCTTAGATTGCATACCACCCATTGCATTAATATATGAAACAACTGTTGTATTATCAGTTTTGAAACAGATGTGTTTTGTATAAAACTTCTTGAAAAAAGGTTTTAATGCAAAAAATATTGCAAGAAGTTCCAAAACATTAATATGGAATTTTGCTTCTTCACATGTCCATCTGCCTCCTGTCATTTTATCTTGAAATCTTGCACCCCATCCTTTTAATGATGCATCTGTTTCAACCCAAAAATCAACAGGATTGGGTTTAATTGGTTTACCATTCAGACCCCTAAGATTTATATACCACCAATCTATTTCGTTAAGACTAATGTCAGAACAAACCATATAAGAATCATAATTGTCATTATTCAATTTTAAGTTCTTATCTTTATCCCTTTCTAAATTTCTGTAATGCAAGGGACCTTGCATAATAGCATTACAAGCATGTATTAACAAACCAATCAAGGATGAAAATTTGCGAATTTTACAATATTTTGTTGATCTTATATCTTCACAGCAATTTAAAATTTTTTGTATCTTTTCCTCTGTTAAGTAAATTTTATATTCAACGGTATCAATTATAATTCCAAAGAAAACAATTCTTTGTGTTGGAATAGTAACTGATTTCTTGGTATTCACAGTAAACCCAAGATTATGTAACTCTGAAGTCACCAATTTGTTTGGTTTAAACAATGAGAATAATTTTGATTCATAATCAGGGAGTCATCAATGTAATAACAACATCTAATTCCATTCTCTCTGAATACAGCATATATGGGTTTAAGAACCTTTGTAAATATTCGTGGACATGATGATAATCCAAATGGTAGTACTACAAATCTATAAAATTTTCCTTTCCATTCGAATGTCAAAAACTTTCTGTAATCTGAATGTATACTTATGCTAAAATATGCAATGGAAGTCAAAAAATCATCTTTTTTGATTAATTCTACAGCATAAGACAAATTTTCTTGCTTAAAATGATGATACTCAATGTATTCATTAAGATTCCTCAGATTGATAATTGGTCGTAAACTTCCATCCTTTTTTGGTACTAGAAAAATATTAGAAAAATAAGCATCTCCTACATCAAAAACTTCCTCAATAGCACCTGTTTCTATAAGATTTCCTACTTCCTTAGAAACCAGATCTTCTTCTTCCTTATTAAATTTAATTTGTTTTGGCATTGATGTTTGTAAAGGAATCTCCATAAACTCAATTTTATATCCAGCATAAATTATATCTAAAATCCATTGATCATCTGTAAAATTTTTCCAGTATTCATAATTAAGTTTCCTTACCTTTACTTGTAGTACTTTTTTGTTGTGCTCATGTACTGTTTCTGACCTCGTCCCCTCTGAGAACTGTTCATGGTCATGAATCTTGACCTGCCTCTGCCTCTGTATGCATTGTTGTATCTTTGCATTGGGCTGGAGTAGTTCTGATTGCTGTAGTTTTTTGTAAACAGCAAGCTATTTTTAGATTTTGAATCCCAGAATGCGGATTTTATACCAATAGGGTGTTTATTTATGTCCCCCATTTCTTTCAATTTTGACATACAACTGTCACCAAAAAGTTGATCAGTAACTGGTATTTCAGCTGAAACAATTTTCTTATACCTTGGAGTTAGACATGATTTGATTTCATTTCTGCGTTTCATAGATAAATTGTAAAAACTGTTTCCTAGCATACTAATGGCATCACCAAGCATCTTTTTGCTTTTAACTGATTCTGTATCTTGTTTACTGATCAAAGATTCTGCCATCTGAACAAGAGGAATCAAACCTGTTGCAATAGATTTCTGAATTATCTGTAAGTTTAAATCAACTGCATGGGCATTTTTCCCCATAACATCCCAGATCTCTTTATTAACACGAGGAACTTTGAGATTGCAATTTTCTGGACGTGCATATTGTTTTTCTAACTCAGTCATGGCTTCTTTGTTGGACTTAACAGATATTGCTGCATTTATAGCTTTTGCCAACCCATCATTAACTTTAGGACCTGTTTTTTCTGCAGAATTTAATTGAGGAATATCCCACAAATCATTGTCCTCCTTAAGATCATTATCTATTGTTATTTGCAAACCTTTATTGTCAAAAACATCTTTGAAAGCATCGTTAGGATTGATACCTGAGATTGAAGGTGAGGGCTCTGGGTTGTCTAAATAACTCAGATCAAAATCAAACTCATTTGGCCCGTCATAACCATTGTAATCTACACTATTTTGATCATAATCTGCAACAGACACAAACTGTTTTACAGGTTTGCTACTTTTATTGTATAAATCTGCCTGTGTTACAGTGCAAGACGAAATTTGTTTGTTATTGCTGACATTGTGTCCCATAGACTCTGTAACATTATTATGACAAGAACTACGCGCCGTATTTTCGGCCATTTGACTTGTCAATAGAGAAATAGACTCAACTATTTTATCAATCCCCAACTGAGTTTTCAAATCATTGAAATTAATGTCATGAACTATTTGAGGGTTTGTATCTGTGCTTACCTGTTTCTTAGATTTCTTTGTTTTTGCACGTGTTTTATCTAATGAACCAGGGATCTGCGTTTTACGCTTCACCCCCCTAGTAGGTTTCTTGTCATCTGTATTACAGACTGTGACATTAGAAGCCGAACTTCTAGTGGCAACTTTGTTACCAAATAATTCTTCAATATCTGAAAATCTCTCAGTATCACTGTCTCTAAGAGACAACATGTCCTCGTTATCGGACGCCATTTCCTAAAACACGACAAAGAAAATTTCAACAACCCAACTTACCTTATGAAAACAGCAGTTTAAAACAAATATATATATAGCTGTTTTACAGCTTAAACCCCCCAAACAAACTTGAACAACGTTCTAAGTTAAACCAATCTTTAATAATCGAACACCACACCTGTGTTACAGGTGACTACGTGTCGCTCGCTCAAAGAAAAAGAATGGTTTGGCACGTGGAGTTGTGCCTTATATACTACAGGTACTCAGGTAATACATACGTCATACAGGTATTTTTTACTTCTTTAAAAATGAGGTTCGCTTCGCTGGCTCGAAGGAAAATGCTATATGATACCCTTTGCAGAGCCGAAAGGCGATATGTAATAGAATGACATGTTGATCCATCAATAGCCATATTTAAAATAAAATGACTTCTGAATGAATCCTACACATTTCTCGCACGATTCTTGCAAGAAAGTTGCATGTTTCTTACATGGTTCTTACACGAAAGTCGCACGTTTCTCATATGCTTCTCGAATGCTTGCTACACTGTTTGCATGAAACGCTTTGGAGCTTACACAAAACGCTGCACGGTTTACACGAAATGCTACACGGTTTGCACGAAAGGCTGCACGGTTTGCATGAAATGAAAAGTGCACGAAAGTCACATGCTTTTTTTGGGTAGTAGCATGTTTCAGGGTCTGTAGTTAATTCATTCAAGATTTATTATTTTGTTCGTTTGGACGAAGGCTTCAAAAAAAGTGACACACTGCGTGTAGAGGTACACATTAATGAATTTTCGGATTAATTAAAAAATCAGTGGACATTAAGTTATTTTAGTTATCTAAGGACAATGTTATGTATTTTCTATGTTTTTTATGTCTCGGATTTGTCTTTCTTGTGATTTACTCATTTACACAGGCCAGTGTTGTAACAGCTGTTCATAAACGCTGTTAATATATGATTATTCCTTGCATTCAACTTTTTATTCCATGCAATTCCAAATAGAGACGTATCCATGTAATCTTTCTCTGCACTTCAGTCAATTTGTCTACTATTATAGGCGGGAACGATAAATTATTTCACGCCAAAGGTCACGAGTAAATCTGTGCGCCTTTGTTTTTGTAATGTGTGTTCTATTAAATGGGTTTGATAGCTTCAACAAAATATAAAAATATGCTGTTATAGCCTGATATTTTAGCTTTAGAATGTACATTTATGGCATTATACATATCGTATATGGGCAAGTAACACTAAAGCATTTAATTTGCAATGTTTTCATACATAATTTATTTTCCTATTTACCTAAAAATTGGAGTATTCCATTTAGTTTACACATTGTATAAAAAGACTGGAACGTTTTGCAACAAGACCTACTCTGAAGTTCTCTAAATACCACGTGCACAAAATCTGTCTAAAATTGAGAGTAATTATTAGAGTTTGGATTTATCAATTTTAAAACAAATTATATATTTCCCATTTTTAAAAGAATGTCTATTAACCCTACTTATATCAAAGAAAAATATTGAAAAACAAAAAAGCTGAAAATTTGACTTTTTTTATTCGTTTCCGGTAGCGACCGGAAGTATTGACGACGCACAAATAGGGGATTCTGCATATATAAAAGTCATGTTCTGTACTCTCCAACAAGTCTCCAGTTCATTTCTTTAGATCCCGCACTGACAAAGTTTCATTTTGAAATCAGAAAATGTCCATAACTTGGAACTGAAAGCGAATTCTTCCAAACTTTTTTCAAGTGTAACAATGGCATTTTATAGTGCATCAAGATATTGCGTGCAGAAAATTTAACAAAAAAAAAATCTATTTTTAAAACTACTTCTGGTGGACATTTTTTAAAACAAATTTTATATTACATATTTCGATAAGTGTCTCTATTATCCCAACTAAAATCATAGAAAAATATTGAGAAACCAAAAAATTGAAAAAAAAAAATGATTTTTTAATTCGCTTCCTGTAGCGACCAGAAGTAACGACGATGCTAGAAAAGGGGATTCCGCATATCTAAAAGACATGCCCTATACTCTCTAACAACTTTCCAGTTCATATCTTTTACCATTTTTGAAAAAAAGGGGCAACAAAATTTCATTTTAGAATCAGAAAACTGTCCATAACTTGGAACTGGAAGCGAATTGTTCAAAAAATCTTCCAAATGTAGCAATGGCATTTAATAGCACACTATCCCTGAAAGTTTGACAAAACTATTGAATAGTTCTTGAGATATTGCGTGCACAAAATTTGTCTAAAAAATATTAATAATAACTAGAAACTCATTGCGAGCAATGAGAGGTCTTCCGTTCAATTTTGAAAATGAAAACGTAAATTCAAGCTAAAAAAGTCATTAAAAAAATCAGACACTCTGGAGATTTAACCCTTGTCGTCAGCGTGAAAATCCAGCGCGCTAACCATTACGCCATTTGGACTCCCGCTTCAAAGTGAAAATGACGAATATCTAGAGTTTGGATTTATCATCCGAAAACAAATTAAATATTTAGTATTTTGAAAATAGGCTCTCTTAACCCTACAAATATTACAGAAAAATATTGAAGTAGAAAAAATCAATTTTTTAAATTAGCTTCCGATAGCGACCAGAAGTAACGACGACGCATGAAAAGGTCCCTGCTCCAATCTAGAAATCATGTTCTATCATCTCTAACAAGTCTCCAGTTCATATCTTTAGCCATTCTTGAGAACACTCACGGACAAAATTTCATTTTAAAATCAGAAAAATGTCCATAACTCGGCACTGGAACAAAATTTACCATAAAAAGGAATTTTATATAAAACTTATATAAATATCTTTTATCCCTGAAAATTTCAAAGAAATTCATTGAATAGTTTTTGAGAATTCACATGCAAAAGATTTTGTCTTAAAAAAAAAGAGAATAATAAAAATTCTCTAGAGTTTGGATTTATCAATTTTAAAACAAATTATATATTTATCATTCTGAAAAGAGTCTCTATTAACCCTACTAATATCATAGAAAAATATTGAAAAACAGAAAAGTTGAAAAATTTGACTTTTTTTAATTCGCTGCCGGTAGCAACCGGAAGTACTGATGACGAAAAACAAGGTAGATTTGCATATCTAGAAGTCATGTTCTATAATCTCTAACAAGTCTCCAGTTCATATCTTTAGTTGTTCTTTAGATATCCTGCGGACAATATTTCATTTTGAAATCAGAAAAAGGTCCATAACTTGGAACCGGAAGCGAATTTTTCCAAAATTCTTTTAAATGTAACAATGCCATTAACTGGCGCGTTATCCCTGAAAGATTGATGAAAAACCACTGAATAGTTCTCGATATATTGCTTGGACAAAATTTGTCTAAAAAATAAGAATAACTAGAGCAGAGCTCGTTGCAAAGCAACGAGTAGGTCTTCCGACGGACGACGGACGTCGAAAGTATTATATTTAGAGTTTTTATCCGAAAAGTGATAAAATTTAGGCAAATTTCTATAAAATGGACCGAAAAAATCATTTTTTTTTTCAAAAACTTCGACTTTCAATTCGGGACTTTTCCGGCCGTAATGACGTCACTTCCGGTTGACGTCGAAAGTCTCAAAGCCATAAAAAAATCTTAAGACTCAATTACAAACCATTTTATATCATTTTTAATGATTTTAAAGGAAAAGCTTTATTTTTCTCGACTACTTCCGGTTTAAACCGGAAGTATTTTCAATGTATGGTTTTTGTTGTCGATTATACATTTCAAATTTATTTCTACATGCCTTAATGCAAAACTGTTCCATTTTTTAAAAAATCCGTAAATTAAATATCACTTCCAGTGTCGACCGGAAGTGACGGATGCAAAAACAAAAGTTGTTATACACATCTTAGAGAGATGTTCTATCACCTCTGAAAATATCATGATTCTATCTTAGTCATTTTTAAGAAGAAGCGTGGACAAAATGATAATTTAAAAAATGAAAATCGGACAAAAAATGCAACCGGAAGGGATTTTCCAAAGAAAGAAAAAAAGGTCTGGAGATATTATAATGATGCATCATCCCTGAAAAAATCTTTGAAATTGGTCGATTAGTTCCCGAGAAATCGCGTGCACTATGAAAAGGGAATAATAATAATAATAGGAAACAGAAGAAAAACAGTAAGGTCTTCCGAAGGAAGTCGGAAGACCTTAATTACTAGAAACTCATTGCAAGCAATGAGAGGTCTTCCGTCCGATTTTTAGAATAAAACGTAAATTCAAGCTGAAAAAATGAAAAAAAAATCAGACACTCTGGAGATTTAACACTGGTCGTCGGTGTGAAAATCCAACTCGCTAACCATTATGCCATTTCAACTCCCACTTCAAAGTGAAAATGATGAATCAAGAGTTTTGATTTATCAATTCGAAAACAAATTATACATTTATATCTCCGTAAACTCCAACCTGCCAATCGGCAATCCTCGACTGACTCCGCTACGCTCCATACAAACCTCGGAAGTGATTGGTGGAGAAATATGCATTAAATTGATTACATTTCTCCGCCGAAACTGCCTTGTAACTCATTTCATATTTTACTCTGCATAAAGTTCTTCAAACATTTCTTTCTCTTGTCTTATTCTTCCTTGTATATTGGTTTTGATCACAACATCATGTAAGTAGTCTTTGAAAGCAAAACATAGTGTTGGGTGTGCTTCAAAGTAACTCAGACTTCAAAGGTGTAACATTTGGAGGAATTTCAAATAAGATCACATGACTGTATCAGCAACATGGTAGAACACAATTGACGTCCGAGGTAAGTGTGCAGGAACGAACCATCCAAGGAGCTCGACTTGC